TTCTTGAAGTAACAAACTGCTTCCCCTTTCCAGTATGTTCTTCTCTTTTCCTCCATAATAACACAAAAAAGTTGCTAATTTCTTTACCATTATTTAACTAACACATATTAGAATTAAATAGATGAGGGAGGAAGATGAGGAGATTGAAGCAGATGGTGCTAACTACCAACTTGAGATGATGAGATGCCTCAGGGAAGTCAATGTTGACAATAACACTGTTGGCTGGTAATTTTTTTTTCTCTTTTTTCTTTTCTTGTAAACTGTTTCTTTGAATTTTTTCTTCATTAAACTTGTTAAAAATGTAAGATGTGTATCTTTAAAGGTACCAATCAACTTTATTAGGCTCTTTCCAGACTGTGGAACTGATTGAGACCTTCATGAATTACCAGGTACACACACAAACACACACAGTTACACATTGTTATTTTTATTTGGTTGCATAAAGAATTCAAATATTCAAAGACAGGTATTTTATAATTTTAGGAGAATATTAGAAGATGTGTGTGCATTATTTATGATCCTTCTAAGTCAAACCAAGGTGTCCTGGCTTTGAAGGCCTTGAAACTTTCTGATTCTTTCATGGAGCTTTATCGCAACAATGATTTCAATGGAGAAAAGTAAGTCCATTTTTATTATTATCTTTAATTCCTATGTTGTAAATTTACACTTTGTTCTTTTCTTTTGCTGTTTAGGTTGAGGGAGAAGAATCTCACATGGGTGGATATCTTTGAGGAGATACCCGTATGTTCATTTTACAACCCATTTATTATCTACTTTAATTTAATATTAAATTAAATGTTGTTTCTTATAAATTATAATATGTAAACAGATCAAGGTTTCAAATTCAGCCCTTGTGAGTGCATTCATGACTGAACTGGAACCGGATTCACCTGTTACTCAGGTATTTTACATATTTATATTTTACATTTATAATCTAGTTATATAATATAAAGAAAGACTAATTTTATATTATATGGTAGTCTGATTATGATAGACTACAATTGTCAACAAATCCCTTTATGGAAAGGAACATGGAGTTTTTGATTGAATGCATGGATGATCTCTCAATGGAACAACAAAAGGTTGTCTTTTTTCTTTTTCTTTTTCTTTTTCATTTCTTTATTTATGTAATAATAGCAAAGTGACACGTGGAAAATTCGTATTTTTACTTCTCAGTTCCAATTTTACTACCGTAATCTGTCACGTCAGCAAGCCCAACAGCAAACATGGCTTCAAAAGAGAAGGTGTTTATTTTGAATATTTTGAATATTTTGAATATTTTGAAAAATGTAAATGTTTTTTTGAAGGTCTGAAAATATGGCACGAAAAGCTGCGGGAGAGGAAGCGTTGCCAGAGGAGGACCCTTCAAACCCCATTTTTAAACCGCTTCCGGAGCCATCAAGATTGGATAGCTTTTTGATAACAAATCAAGTATCCAATTACTGCAATCAAATTAACAGGTATTTAATTTTTTTTATTTAAAAAAATAAAATTTTATATTATTTTATTTGTTTTAAAATTTCATATTATTTATGGGAATATGCACACACTATGCAGTGTTGCAGGGCAGAGTTTCAGCAGATTATATTTGATGAAGGCGTTACATGAGTGACAACTGAGTTGACTGAATCATTTAATTTTGCTTTTTTTATTCAAAACTTAAGATGGTATGTAGGAGAATTTTGATATGTAAAAACTACTTATTCGCTATTTCAATCCCTATTTTGTTTTTGTAAAATTTATTTATGACTATTTGTTCTCAAGAATTTGGTATAATATATTGATGGTAGAAAATAGGGGTGAAACCGAATCCGAAAACCCAAAAACCGAAACCGAACCCAAACCCAAACCTGTCGGGTTTGGGTTTAAAAATTTAAAAACCAGAAAATGGGTTTTGGGTTCGGTTTTAGTACATCTCAAACTGATCCAACCCGTTGGGTTTGAAACTGATCCCATGTTTTTCAATGATATGCTTTAATTTGATTTTATATGTCGAAGGTAATATAAGTCGCATGCAAAAGGAGGTGGATTTTGGTATTAAATTATACCAAATCTATGGTTTGTGTTGTTGTTTTATTGAAACTGAGATTATTACTCTTTTGTTTGCTACTTGTTTTGTTTTTAAAAACTTGTTAAACTTGGTTTGGTTGTTTTTAAACTTGGTTGTAAACTTTTAGCAACATACTTTGGATGTTATGTCTGGTGTTGAAATTGGTTTTTTTAGTTTATTTAATCTAGGTTGCTAAATTTCTTTTATTTTTTAAGTTACAAAGATTTGATGAAAAATGAGTTACAACCCAAAACCCACGTGTTTAAACCCAAACCCATCAACCCATGGGGTGAACCCAAAAACCGACCCAAGAACCCAAAAACCGAAACCGACCAAAAACAGAACCCAACGGGTTCTAAAACCCAGAAACCTACACGGGTTCGGTTCGGTTCTACCCCAAAACCGAACCAACTTGGTTCATGTTCACTCCTAGTAGAAAAATATGATAATTATAATTATCCAAGATAACTTTTAAAGCTATTATCATTGTATAAAACCTTGTTAATATGATATGTTGTAAAAACAACATTAAAACCATTTATGCTTTACGCCTAAACAATGTAAATAAAATGTTTTATATTCTTAATTATTCACCAAGTCAATTATATTATTCATCAAGTCAACTAATAGTCAAACCCTATCTTTCACAAGTCAACTAACCGTCAAACCTTATCTTTCATAAATTGACAACTATGGCCCATCTAACATTATATCTTTTAACTTTTAATTAATTCATAATATCAAATCTATCACTATTATTTAGTTAACAAAATTTAATTTATTTATTTGATCATTTCTTAATTTATTTATTTTCTACATTTAAAAAAATCCACATTAATACATAAACCTTCTAGAGTTCTAGGCCCAAAAGGTGAGTTACATAATCGGGATTCCCAAACTAGAAATTATGGTTTTGCATATATTATGGTTTTCAAACAAAAAATTAGGGTTTTTACAAAAACGGGAATCGGGGTTTCCAAATTATGGTTTTTACAGGCAACGAAACAAAAATCAGAAGCTCGCCATCAAGTTAGGACAATTTAGAAAACGACGACCGGGGTTTCCAAACTTCTAAGACGTTCGTTCCATGGCAACATATTCACAACTGTCAATTCCTAAATCCTAATGTTGTTGGAAGTCGTAGTCCAGACTGACAAGATGATGAAGGCGAAGACATTATGTTCACGAGATTGCTCCTTAGGGTTTTCCATAGCTCAAAGAGGGTAACAACGAAGGAAAATATGTTCCAAATGGGTGTTTCAATTAATAGCGGATAAATACGTGGATAGTTGTCTCCACGCCACAATGCTAGCTAAGCGCAGTAACCTGAAAATCGACAGTTTTTTAGTCGAGCCCTTAATTAACAAGTCAAATTTAACTTTAATGAACTATTTCATAAAAATACTTTATATATATATATATATATATATATATATATATATATATATATATATATATAATCCATTATGCTACAACGTTATTTATCCATATAGATATGAAATTGGTTGGCAGTATTGTAACATCCTGATTCCTGATTTTTTTTTACATACAAAATTTAATTTTTTTTAATAGATCTCCTTTTTAAAACTAATGACAAACATCATTTATAAAATGATTCATTCGAGATTACATAACACATTAATTTAGAGTAGTAGCTGAAGTCTTTTAAACAAAGCTTTTAAACATATTAAGCATAATGCGAACGATGTTGCAGTCAGGGCGCACTCTTCCATTTGATCACCCTGGAGGGTCCTGTGATTAATATTAAACAACGGGTAAGCTTAAACCTTAGTGAGTAAACACAAAACTCAATCATTATATCGATTATATATCGCATAACAGATAAATACTTACTCTTTGTGGGTTTTCGAGAGAAGAAAGGGGAGAAATGGTGGGTGGTGGTGGTGCCGAAATCTACAGTTCAGTGTGACTTTCAGGACGAAAACATTTTTGTTACTTTTATACGGATGATTAGATGATTTGGAAGGGTTTTTTAACATTAAACATGTATTACCTCTTTCTCATCTTCTGTTATCTCTCTTCATCGGGTGTTCATCAAGATCTGGAAACTCAAGAACGATCTTAAAAACTCAGGATTCTGGATTTCATTTCATCAAATTTAGCTTCACTGTTTTGGTCGGTTTTTGGATTTTTTAGAAAGGGTTTGATTTTTCAAGAAGGTCTTGAGATCTCATTTATAGGGTTTTGATTTTTAGAAAGGGATTTGATATTAAGAAAGGTTTTGAATTGGTTTTTTAATCTCGAGCGTGAACTTAAAAGGGTTTCAAGAAGAAGGTTGTTGATTTTATCCTTATTTGATTTGGATTTGTATTTTATCCATGTTTGATTTGGATTTGTTAATAGAAGATGTGAGAGAGATGAGTTGATGGTGGAGGACGGTGGTGGATGACGACAAATGGTGATGTGTGTAACAGTGTGTTCTTGAGTGTGTATCTTCATGAAGATGATGGATGTGTGTTTGTGTGTGTTTATGAATATTTCTTGAGAGTGTGTGTTAAGATGTTCTTAAGAGTGGGTATGTGCGTTCTCTTAAACTTATTAATAAAAAATAAATAAAAAATTTACAAGAAAAATATAAAATAATTAAAAAGTGTAGAAAAATTATAAATGATCACTTTGGTTCATAAAAGTCAATTTTATCCTCACATGTGTTTCACATGTCCAAACTTAACATACGAAAATAGACAGTGTTAGCCATAAGGACGATCGATTAAAAGTCTTCAACCATACTACCATAGAGACCATCCTTGAAGACAAAAAAAAAATTAAGAACCAAACTTGTCTTTTTTTGAATCCATATGGACCATTTTTGAAGATTTGTCTAAATTAAAGGCATAGAAAATGTAAATTACAAAAGTACAAACCGTTCTAAAAAAATCAAACCCATATACCAAAAAAAAAAAAAAAAAAAAAACAAAAAAAGTGACGCTCAAAGATGACTTACTGGGTCAAGCTTGAGAAACCAAAACCCTAGCAATTCAAACTCACATTTCAACCTCAATGAATTCGTATAGAGCAATGTCTACCGTTTCACCAGCATCGACGACAAATGATGATATTGCAAATGGATTTCAAAATTTGGGGATTTCAAATGTTAACGACGTGCAGATCACTTGCTTTTCCGACGTCTTCAATGACACTACCCTTCATTTTCAGATCATTCGTCTTCCCAAACAGGTATCTTGTTCAATTTCTTCATATTTATGCTTCTACGTTCTATGTCCTTCTATATCATACACAAAATCCGGAACTTTTACCTGATTACGAGATGCAAGGGTTCTTCGCTTTTCCTACCTTGACCATGGAGTTTATCCTTTAGTTTAAGACTATTCAAATTATATGGATTTATAGGTTCACTTGCTATCTCCTTGACATTTAAACAACTGTGCAATAGAAATCACCAAGAGGATTCATATATTGATGTATATCTGTGCAACAGTTTGGCATTTTTCAATTAGGTTTAATGGGAAATGAAGTATCTGGGAAATTACTGTGTGGTCTCTAGTAACTTTTTTGATATTATTGCTACATATGGCTTGCTCATCAGTCATCAGCTCATGTACTATATTTACTACTGTAGATATATGCATGGATTGGTTGTGACTCTGCCAAATTTGGCCATTTATATGCTGCTGCACCTACAAGACCAGTAAGTTTTCACTTATGAATACGTTATCTTGTTGCAACAAGTAGTTTTATCCAAATAGCCATTTTGGTGTTGATAACTCCACTTTTAATGTTCATATACAGAACAACACAGTCAGTGTAAGCTCCCTTCTTGGTGGTAACTCTGACAATACAGGATCTGGCATTGCTCGTAGAATAGGTAACCCTCTATACCCTTGGGCATCACTAAGTCCCTATCTTGTGTGTGCAAAAGACTATAATGCCCTCATCCTCATCATAAATAATAACCTCAGAATTTTTTTTCTCATAGTTATTAAGACTGGAGTTCCTTTAACATTGGCTTGCAACATTCCAAAAGATAGTCCCATGCTTGAGGTTCTCTCTCTTTCTCTCTCTCTCTCTCTCTCTCTCATGCATGCGTATATAAATTTGTTTTTTTTGTAATCATGTCTTCATTGTCTTTTTCTTCTCTGTAATCCTAAATGATTTCTCCTGTTGTGGTTTTAGGCTGCAGCTGAAAAGAAGCTAGTTCAGAAGCTAAATGCTCTGGGTTACACAAAGTCCAAACATCGAGAATTATATTCATAGAAAAAGGTGAGACATTTATTTGTGGCACCATGCATACACATAGATGCATCAACAATACCTAGGCCCTGTTTCTTACTATTATATGTTGTTGGAAGGAAAAAATGATGAGGGCAAATTTGTAAAAACCCTAATTTTCTGTCTGCTTTTACTTTTAAGTAGAAATTTGGTGTGCGTTGAAGTGGGATCTATATATACGGAAATTGAAATTTTTGTCACCCAAGGAGATGTAACATGGTTTTGCTATCTATCTCTCATTAGTGAAAAAGACATGAATGCAATTATATGAAAGTTTATAAGTATCTGTACTTGTACACAACCCTATCAAACTATATTCATATCTTTTTCATATTGCATAATATTTTAATATAAAACTATTTGTATTAAATAATTAATAGTTACATGAAAACGTAGCAACTAGTAGGAATGGGGTGATATAACATCAACCAACGTTACATACCATGTGAAATAACATCAAAATCAGCAACATCACCAACAAAAGTAACAACGGCAAGAACCACAAAATAAATGAAAAAAATAAAGAAAAAACATTATCGTCATCAAAACTACCAACAATTTATGACAAGGCAACATGTTCAACCCTTTACACGTCAATTCATTTTTACATCTTTAATCCTTTACACATCACAAAAACTACTAACAATTTATGACAAGTCAACATGTCAAGCAATAGTAAAGCTGGTTATATCCGTTAGCTATATCAATTTTCCATATACTAAAAGAAAAACAAATTTAAAGAACTTTAATATAAAACTAATTTACAATAAACTAAAAACCAACATTTCAAACAATTAGTTATTTGGGATTCAAATTCAACATCATCTCTCTTTCCTGTTCCAAATCATACACCTTATCATTCATCCCTACCTTCCTATAAGCTTCAACCATGATATCAAACGTAGTCACATCACCCTTACATTCCTTACTCTTCATCCTCCTAAAAACCCTCTCCATTTCCATCAAATCATCCGCTTTCGCACACGCATAAATCACCGCATTATAAAACGACGTATTTTCAGCTATCTCCAATTTCCCAGCTAACTCAACCATATTAACCACCTTATGAAAAACCCCTCCATTAGCATACCCTCTAATCAAACAACAAAACGTCTTTGTGTCCCCACGAATCCCCTCACTCCTCATTTGATCAAAAGTAAACTCCATATTTTTCACATCACCAACATCCGAAAAAGCCTCGATTACATTGTTATAAGTCGATGTGGTCCACGGAAACGACAGTTTCCGCATGTACGATAAAACAGTCGACATTTTATCGTACATTTTTTTCTTCGCGTACCCGTTTACTAAAATGTTAAACGTTCGCGTCTCGGGGTCGATTCCGTAATTTCGAAACTTTTCATACCATTTCTCCATTGTTTCGATTTGACCCGTGTTCGCGAATAGCCCTAGAATCGTGTTCATTGTCCAAACATCGGGTTTTGATGTCGCGCTTTCGAGCATCCCGTTAAGGATTTTTTCCATTTGGTCGAATTTCCCGGCTTTTATGTAGCCCGCGAGGACCGTGTTTTGGGTGAGGGTGTTTGGGGTTAGGGACATTTCGGTCATTTGGTCGTAGAGGGATTCCACGAGGTCGAATCGGGAGGCGTCGACACACGCTTTGATTAGAATGCTATATGTGTAAATGTCGGGTTGACAAAACGGGAGGTTTTTCATTTGGTCAAGGATTTTGAATGCTGAGTCAATGAGATTGCTTCGGCTATAAGAGGCGAGTAATGCAGTGTAGAGTTCGGGAGTGGGGTCTAGGCCTTCTTGGATCATTGTGTTGAAGAGATTTTGAGCGTGTTGTGGTTGACCGGATTTTCCGAGGAGGACAATGAGCTTCATGTAAGTTCCTTGTTTTGGTTGATAAAATGGTTGTTCTTTTAGCATCTCGAATACCTAAAATAAAAGTTTTATAGAAGTGAAATTAGGTTATACACCTTGTACTGTGTTTGGTGTTGCATTGGATTGAGACTGATGGCAATCGCACAAAAAATTGTAATTTTTTCTCCCACTCAAAAAGGTGGGACACGGGCTCGCTCTCAATCTCTCGTTAGTGCAAAAGACATAAATGCCCTTCTCATTCTCATCGTTAAAAATGCCCTTATAAAGCTTGTTCGGTAAAATCTCATCATGTAACAAAGGCAACCCTTTGTTACATAGGTTGGGACTAGAAAAGCTTTCCAAGGCTATTTTTGACGATGAGGATGAGGGCATTCATGTCTTTTGCACATAAGAGGGATCGAGAACGAATCCCTGCTCCACCTAATTCTACCTTTTTGATGAGGGAACAAATTACAAATTTGTCCCTTAATGCATGCGAAATGGAGACATGCCCATTTACTAATTCATCTATATGAAAACCCTATTGGTTATATGGTTTGTGTTGTAGAAGAAATATTAACATGCAACAAAACAGATTACACGATAAGGAACCAAACGAGAAGATTTAATTCCATATGAAATATCAATGCAATTATTAAGGGTCAAATGCAAGAAATAGCAACGCATTTTGATTTATTTGTTTATTATGCAAGAAATAGCAACATACTTTTATGTTGAGTGTATGATTACCTCTAATCAAATGAAGAAAGTAAACTAATCAATCAAAAACTATGTGAAAAAGCTTTTCTTTCACTCAAAACTATGTAATAAAACCCTAACTAAAAATAACAATGCAACAAATCAAAATTGGTAGAAATTAACAGCCTAAACACACTAATTGGTTAAATCGATACATTAATTAGGACTACAGGTTGAGTGTCTGATTACCTCTAGGGCTCTTAACCACTGCTTGTTGTTAATAGAATCGGATAAGGCTTCTGTAACGGTAATTACCCCCGTATTAAGGTCATTCTTCCGATCCGGCTGCTTCTTAATGGTCTTAGTCGGCGATCTTCTCTTATTCCTGTCAAAACTCGAAGTCCCCGCCACATCGCCGGGGTACTCCCCTTGCTTCCACAGTTTCTTCTTCTTCGGTGCCGCAACTGAGGAAGCTGATCTCATTGCGCATCGGAATAGGAACCGGGGAGAAGTTATGGGATAGTGAATGCGGTGATGGTGGTGGAGATCCCGGTAACTGTCGGTGGAGAGTGATAGGGAAGATGAGAACGAGTGAGACGACCGCGGCGGCGGCGCTAATAACGACATCGTTTTGTTTCTTTAGAAGTGACGATCTTGTCATGTGAGTGAGCGAGCGAGCAAACATCCATGGATAAGGTGTAAGGATTTCATTTTTAGCTCACAATAACATTTCACCCTTATAATTTTTCTTTTTGATATTATAACCCTCGTACTTTTGATATTATAATTAGAGTAAATCATAGTTGTGGTCCTTGTGTTTGTTCATTTTTAACACTTTTGGTCTTTCTATTGCCATTTTAACACCACTGGTCCTCATGATAGGGTTGGGTAACAATCAAGACCTTGTCTCAATTAGGCTCCGTTAAACCTTTCTATCTAGGATATAAAAAGTCGAATTTGCACTTAAGCCTTATACCCGACAACATGAACCTCAGATTAGAGTAAAATCACATCTCAGCACAACAACATGAATCTCTGAAGATTTCTTCCTCCGTTACCAATGTCACCTTTGGTTCTAAGTCAACAAAATAGCATCTCGGCTCTCGATGTGAACCCATATGGTGACTGATGCAACTACTTCCATCAACATGTACATGATGGTGTAAGGAAGGGTGGTGATGTAGGGGAAGGTCTTAATATGGTAAGTCAAGTTCTTAATGATGATTAGGGTGTACATGTATGGGAGGGTGATGATGCAGGGTAGAATGATGATGTAGGGGCGTGTCTTAATTTGGTAAATTAAATGCTTAATGATGATGAGGGTGTAAGTATAGGGCAACAACTTAAAGCAATAAATGATGAGGTTGAAAATGGAATAAATGAAATTCCAGGGGAGGTTGGTAGTTAATCAGAAACTAATAGTAAAGGCCCTTTAGCACAAATTGATATTAATGATGGTGATTATGATAATGTTCTACCTTTTAATGTCCTTACGGTGTTGATAACGTAGCTATGCTACTAGAGGCAGTGTATACCATGACAAAAATAGAATGTATGTGTGGTGTACAACTTGTACTTGATGACATGCCACCAGATGAGCTGGTATATTTAAGTCCTTGTAGATATGTTAGTTGGTTTTACAAAAGTCTATTTTTGTCCTCTAATTTAGCAATGCATATGTTTTTTGTGAATAACATGAATTAAATGAAGTGAAGGGTTATCCATATGTGGATGTTAATGGTGAAGGTGAAGGTGTTTTAGAGAGGATATTGGTGACCAATATCATCAACATGAGGGTGCTGACCAAGATCGTCAACATGAAGGTGATTATACATTAAAATGAGGTTGATGATGAAGGCAAGCAGGATGTCCTCAACATTAGGAAAAGGAAGCCTTCTAAGAGGGTAATTAAAACAAATTAAAGAAACCTGTTTTTGATAAAGATGGTGGTGGTTTAACACTTACAAATCTAATAATTTTGGAGTAATTATGTAGGTAAGGGGTTGAAATGGGGATGTTTTATTGGGAATATGTATATGTAGCCATGTTTTGGTATATGTTTTTGATACACCCACTATTTAAAGCAGGCATCCATTTGTTTTTTATGTTACCATTTTGGTTGTCTTTTTGGTATGCCTTTCAAGGCTTCTGGTACAAATGGATGGCTGCTACAAATTAGTCATATTAAATATTATGTAATGGTACCCCGCCCGAGTTAATGTTATTATCAACTTCTAAACTAATGTGTGTGTGTGTGTGTCTTAGTATATATTTATATTACTTTGGTATGTCATTTGTAGTATAGTACACTACCAATTGTGCATTACAATTACCAATTCCACTTCTGCATTACCATTACCAATTCCAATTATGCATTATCATTACCAATTCTTTTTCTTGTAACATCTCAAAAATCACAAAAAAAATTTAATTTTTTCAAAAACAACAATTCAATCCATAATGTTTACAAAGCCATTGTTTCAAAAGTGTTTTCCAATAATCAAAGTGTCCCAAAAATCCAGATATCATAGAATCGGAGGATATGCACGATCACGCCTTCGCCTTGCCACGATCCTCAGAAGTACCTGAGACAAAACTATAACTGTAAGCCAACGCTTAGTGAGTTCCCCCAAAGTACCACCACATAACATAACAAACAACAACATGCATACAGAGCCTTCAGCATGACTAGATCGACTCACCGGGCCTTCAGCTTATCTGGACCGCTCTCTGGGCCTTTGGCATGACTGGACCGCCTCGCAGGCCTTTAGTCTATTCGGACCACCCTGGGTATCTTGGCCTTGAGTATCAGCTAGTCTGCCTCAACCCAATAAACCATAACATATCGATACATAACATTATCAATCAATAACAACAAACACATGTAATCCTACAGATCTACCAGTCTAATCACATAACCAGTACTACATAACTCCGCATAACAACATACAAAAAATCAGGATATCTAATCCAATGGGCCGACCTTGGTACCTTTGACCCCTAAGAACAATGAGGAAAACTCGCCTCTCTGTCTGAATACAGTCTGAATGAATCTCTGCTCCGACAACCGGTTCTATCGGACTCGTAATAATAAAAAAATTTCCCATTTTAAATTAATAACAATTTCCTAAAATACCCTTGGTCAAAATCGGTCAAAATCAACAAAATCGGTTGAGTCAACCCAGTCGAGTCAACTCAGTCGAGTCGACCCAAACCTCGTACGCGGGGCGTACTCACTGTCCGAGGGATTGGGGCTTGAACTGCGTACGTGTAGCGTAACATTTGGTACGCCCATCATACGCATCTGGTCTTCTTCTTAACGAGTTAAGAGCTTAATACATAAGCTATTACAACCAAATTGTAGATCGATGTCCCAAATATCATCATTGACCATAAAGTTTCCAACTTTATGGTGTTGCATGGCCAATAAGTGCTAAATGCTCAAAACCCCATTCTCTTAACCCATTAAGACAAACAAACACATGCATGGAGAAGGATCAAAATCCAAAAACTCTATTTTTTATGCTTCTAACCCCCTCAAAACATCTAAAAGGACAACTAGAATGGAATAGAGCATGTCATACTCTAAAAAGGTCAAAACTTGGGACACAATGCTCATGAATCAAGAACTTAGCTAGATCTAAGGAAATACAAGCCAAGTTTAGAACTTTATACCTCTTGGAGGTTGCTAGAGAGGTGAAGATCCTAGATCCAAAGCTTCTTCAAGTTTCCAAGGTGGTTCTACTTCCTTCTTTTTTCTTCAATACCACCAAAAACACACACAAGGGTCAAGAATGCTCAAACAAGTGGCTAGGGTTTGCTAAAATCGAATGGTAATGTTGGAGGCTGATGAGAGATGAGGTTGGAGGCCATAAAGATGTTTAAACAGGGTCCATACCCTAAAATTTTAGGGTTTGGAACCCTCGCACGTACGCCGAACGTACTAGACCCGTGCATGTAAGCCCAACGTACACACATGCGCCCAACGTACACACATACGCCCAACGTACTAAACCTTGGCCTGAAATTACAAAAATGCCACTATGGGCCATTTTGCAAGCTTCTCATACACAAGGGCTAAATACCATAAACATTTATACTTAAGGGTTAAATTTGGAAATACCTCATCACTGGGATGTTACATTTGTACTTACCATTACCAATTCCATCTATGCATTACCATTACCAATTCCATTTGTACTTACGAATTCCATTACCATCACCATTTACACTTACCAATTCCTTTTTTGCATTACCAGTAAGTACATTACATTATCACCATACCTAAGTAGAACACCATTGTCACACCCCCAAACTAGGATGGCGGAAACGTCCGGGGGTGGATGACTTTCATGTATTGTATCATAATATAATGAATAATAGTGATCAAAGCAAACACAACCATCATAAATATAATTGAAAAAGTTACATTGTAGTAAGAGTTACATGTTTCAAAATCAATTACAATATGATGATAAAAAGATTTGTGTGACGCCTAAGTGTCCCATCCTCAAAAGCTTGTAGTTACCTGTTTTAGTGATTTCCTGATAATACAAGTAGTTTTGAAAAAGTGTCAACAATTAAGTTGGTGAGTTCATAAGAGTTCGCATGAAGAATTGTAAGCCTTTCCTTGTAAAATGATAGTGTTTGTTTCCAGAAAAATCCAATATTTTCCTTTAAATGAATTGTAGTCTTAAAACCCTAAGACTGAAATGTACAAGTATTTCCATACTTAAAATAGTGATATGCAATTTTATTCTATAAAACCGTTTGAATGTATGTTTTCCCGTAAACTAAATGTATCGTTGTTTCCCCATGTGAGTTATTATAATCGTGCTAAAGACATAAATGACCTGTTACGACGTTCTTCAGGCGTCGGAATGTTAGACATTTGTCACCCCAGACCTGCTGGTCTAGCTGTTGCAAGCAGCTTAGGCGCGGGATTGTTAGTCCCGTATAGATCTATACACAAGTATCACGCTCTCTTACGGGAGATTCTGGTTATAATACATGACTTTTGTAGGTACATTGACATTATGAAAACAAATGAGTAACTTGGTGTTATAAAACGTAGTGTCATGTATGATTTGGTGAGTAAAGGATACAAGCATATGAGTCAAAGTTTATTTGTTCTTTTTGCCCTAACGGGAAAAGCGATATCTTTGGGACCCTCAGTGATTTGGTGTTGACTTATAGTGTTGGGCCCAGTTAGGACTAAATTGACGTGTTCAATTAGAAGTCTTATGACGTCATCACAAATCAGGAATTCGGGAAACAAAATATTGGACAATGAGATTAATTCTAATCCATTTCTCGTGTTCATACAATATCTTGTAGAATCGAGGAATATTTGATCACTTATCTTAGGACTAATGTTTGATCAGATCAGAGACTGGAGTTGCTTTTGGAAGCATCATTTGCTGACAATTTAGATGTTATACTACCAATTTTAGTTATAGACTTATCCAAGTGGGAGAGTGTTGGATTAGGTGTTGTGACATCCCCATTTTTACGGCCAGAAAAGACCGATTTCGTTTATGCTTTTTAATAAGAATCAGAGTAACTTTAAAAAAAAGTATTGCGGAATTTGTTCCCAAAACAAAATATGATATATATTTATCAAAGCATTTCTTAAAGAAATATATTTTCATTACATTACGAAAACTCGGG